CAAAGTGCAAAAGATGCATCAAAGAGTCATCGTATCCCAAATGACAAAAGAACATCCTTTGGCACTTCGCAAATAAAACAATTAACTCAAATAAAGCCAAACAATGCAGCCGTGAATATTTTAAAGTTTTTCTTTGAATTTGGCAGCAAGCGGACGTCATATTTGTATGACTCATCGGCATATTCAATTGTAACGTATATATGCATTACACACGGTTTTCCTTGTTATTTCTTGCAATCAGCTGAGATGTTAATTGACTTTCGTTACTTGAGAAAAGGAAAGTATCCATTGTGCAGTATTTATTACACTAAACTTGTTACTTTTGTCTTTAAGAGCCCTTTCATACTTTTTGCAAAAAATCGTAATTTTTGAGCGCCACGTTTACCCGCTTAGAAAAGATTTTGACTATTTCCAATAAAAGTCAACAATAGATTTATTCTTCCTATTGTAAGTTAATGTAGAATATTTGCAAATACTATTTTCCTTTTTTTGTACTGATCGTTATACCGCAGCTAGTTTACGGAAAAAACTATGGAATAATATGCACAACTTCAAACGCCTCAATCTCTCAATAATGTTCAATAAATTAGATCAAATTAATCACTACGATATCAGAAATATGTTTTTGTTGTAACATAATGTATTAGAATTTTGATTTTCCATCTCATTATTTATCAAATAAAAAACATCTAACCTCCGTGAGTTTTCCCAATTGAATTAAATGGAATTACTATCAACAACTTTCATAAAACTAATCTACCATCATTGAACTACTGAAATATGTATATATTTTTGTAATTAATTCATTAATAATTATTTTATAGGACTCGAAACGTTGCCCGTAAAATGCAATATATACTAGTGCAAATCTACCTACGCACATAGGAGTATTTAACCCAAAAAGTCGATTATAAGTCGAATATTGCAAAGTACCGATATGCAGGTAGTTTCCGCTCCTTGGAAAGCGGAAAGGGTCGTCCGACAATGTACCGTTATCTCTCTTTTGTTCTCACTAACATTCGGTGCACAGTCAGTCGTCTTTGTAACGAAAGTCTGATTGTACGTATTTAATGCGCAGTGAGAGTGAGTCAACTAAGTTGTTAAAAATAAATTTTACATTTAGTTTAATTGGGATAAAGCAAGTTTTAGTTATGGACGTTGTAGAACAAGGTATGTAAAACTAAATTTATGTATTTTTTTTAAATATATATCAATAATTAATTATTTACGCTATTTTTTGTTGTATACATTAAATTATAAGTAAATTTTAGCATTACCTAATATTTCAAAGACTTTTTGGTATATTTCCGAGCTTTTCCAGGGTCAAATTCTTTTATTATCTTGTAGTTACATATCTATTATAAGAATTTAAAAAGAAATTAGCTGCCAAAATGTGCCAAAATATTACCATTTTGTAAATAGAGTGCATGTGACATTTACCAAAACAAACTTTATTTTGCGGTCACTTATGTTAATTTGAGATTTCTTTTATTGTAGGATCTTCTGGTATTAAGATCGTGACAAGAGAATATGTCTTTCGAAAAGCGAGAGAATATTGTGAACCAGATCTTGGAAAAACTTAGAATTATTCGAGTTTGAAATAATTAATGACTCTTCATTTCCCATTGATCAAAAAGCAAAGTTTAGACATACATTTTCTTGTCTCAAGTCTGAAATGAAGTCTAAATGGCAGACAGCAAAGCGAACAGAAAGTGTGTTTTTGAAAAAATACCATGATTGGTTACAAGGTACTCTTGAAATACCGAAAAATACAATTCATAGAGAAAAATACCACGTGGGGCGGCCAAGCAAAGAGTTCAAAGAATTAACGGACTGTAGTAAGCGTCGAAAGACATCACATTTAAGAAACATAAATGAAGCAGAATCTTTAATTTATGCAGGTCAAATGGCGCTTCGTGAGAAAGGAAACGTGGATGGTGCTTATGTGATAAAAGATATTATGGCATCCCCAACACGTGGTCATAAATACCGTGAAGCGTTCAAAAAAAGCACTACACCTGAATTAAAAATTAAGCAACTATCACCAACAGAGGCTTTGTCTATGTTTGTGGAAGCTTCATTGACAAGAAAGCAGTACGAAATAATTAGAACAAATGCTAAAAAACTATACCCGTGCTACTCGATTTTACAGAAAGCAAAAAAAGATTGCTATCCAAATGCCGAGTCTTATTTAGTCACTGAAACCTGTGCAGAAATTAAATTACGAGCATTGTTAAATCACACTGTTCAGCGTTTTGTATTATACCTTGAAGAAGTGTTAAAAACTTTAACGGAAGAAGAGTTAGTGAACATAGAGCTGACATATAAATGGGGGTGTGATGGCTCGCAGCAGGCCCAATATAAACAAAAAATTGCTAATAACAGTGACTCTGACGCAAATATTTTCCAGTCATCGCTTGTGCCATTACAGTTGATAAGTAAGAGCAGTAAAAAAATAATTTGGAACAATCCATCACCTTCTTCTCCGCGTTACTGTCGACCAATGCGGATCAGATTTATACACGAGACTAAAGACGTAACAAACGATGAGATAAATTACCACAAAGAACAAATTAAACAGTTAACGGGGACAAAGATAACTTTCGGGTCTTACGAAATAACAGTTACCCATAACTTGCTATTTACCATGGTAGATGGCAAAGTATGCAACTCGGCAACAAACACAACCTCTGCAATGAGATGCTACATTTGCAAAGCCACATCTAAGGATTTTAATAAACTTGAAAAGTTTATCGAAAGCGAAACAACAGAACTACAAAATTTGGAGTTTGGCTTATCTGTCCTACATGCTCGCATCAGATTTTTCGAGACATTACTACACATTTCTTACAAACTACCTATAAAGAAATGGCAAGTGAGAACACAGGCCGAAAAAGCTATAATTAGAGTGAGAAAGACAAACATCCAAGAAGCATTCAAAAATGAACTTGGCTTAATAGTTGACGTACCTAAAGCCAATTTCGGAAACACTAATGACGGCAACACCAGTAGAAGATTTTTTAATAATATAGAAATATCAGCCAATATCACTGGTATCGATAAAACTTTAATAGAAAGATTTGCAATCATTTTAGAAGTGATATCAAGTGGATATAAAATAAATATTGAAAAATTTGACAGCTATTGTCAAGACACTGCTAAGATGTACGTAGAATTATACTCTTGGTATCCTATGACAACAACAGTGCATAAAATATTAATTCATGGTCCTTCAGTTATAAGACATGCCATACTACCAATAGGGACCCTATCTGAAGAAGCCGCAGAGACTCGTAATAAACATTTTAGGAAATTCAGGGAACAATATTCCAGAAAATTTAGCAGAACTGAATGCAACATGGATGTGTTAAATAGATTATTATTAACTTCGGACCCATACTTGACCAGTATTAGACCCAAAGTGTCTAAAAAATCAAAACCTTTTAAACCAGAAAGTAGAGAAATGTTAATGCCCTTTGAAGTTGATAAGGATGAAGATGATTTAGATGAAGAAGAGTAATTATTACTTTAGTAAGGGTTTTAATTAATATTTGTAAATTATTTATAAGAAATATAAATGGTGACAAAACATTGTTTACACTCATTTCAAATTCCTACTTGAAAAACTAGCTTAAATATTTTTTTTAAATGTTCTTGGTTACATGATTATGACAACAAATAAATTTTAGCCAATAAATAATTTTGATCGACTTTTTTGATCAAATACTCCTATGTGCTACGCGCCGATCAGTACGGCAGCGGCGCAATTTTGTAAAAGGGCTCTTAATACGAAAAGTTGTATGTTTTGCTATGAATATAAAAATGAATTTTGGATACTTATTCGGAGTTGGATAAGTTTTAGATACTGGTGTGCCACCCCAGTTATATACTTTGGCCGAAGGGTGTTGTGTTCCGGCGATTCCGAGGCCGGTTACCTGATACCACTACGCGTCACACGTCGCCGTCTATACGTGTTAATTAGGTGTTTACTCACATAGTTACTAATTTTATTTACTAAAAACAATGTTTTACATCTGTATATATGTTAGACTATAAGGTATTTATCTATGGACCTGTGAAGCCTGATCATAGATAAATAAAAAATAAAATATTCAAATTCCCAACAAATTTAGTACATCATAAATCAAGAATATGGTAACTTTTACGAATATGTATAAATTTATTGGAAATATTGGAGGAGCTCGACGGCATTAGTGTGTGCGCCTGTTATGTTTGACGACCTCCGTGGCCGAGTGGTTTGTACGGTTCGCATCCCGTTTGGCAAATGTTTGTGTGATAAATACAAACATTTGTACTCCAGTCATGGATGTTTAATATGTATTTCTATAAAATTATATATGTATCAGTATATGTATATGTATTCTGTCCGTTACCCTAGTATCCCATAACACAAGCCTACAGTGTTTACTTTGGGGCTAGGCTAATTGGTATGTGTGTATTGTAAATATTTATTTATTAAATATTTTATTAGTAATGTCTACAATTGTGGAAGTAAAAGAACTATCGCAATGGCTGGTTACATGATGGGTGACCAAAATGTTTTATTTCCAGCTTCGTCGTGCTTTAGAGGGGGCGTAATTTAGTGAGTCGCGGCCGTGGGTCATAGCCCAGTTCCTTATACCATCCGTAGGTAACTGAAGTCCTGTGCCCCAGCAGGGACACAAGGCATGAATAGGCTAATGATGATTGGAACAGAAAATCCCAAAATAGAAAAAAACGAGTGTGCTTATGACCAATGAAATATGTATATGTACACGATGTATGTACATATACATATTTTATTTACTAGCTATAAGAGAAAGAGAGAAAAAAATGTGCTAGGGCACTGCTTTCTCTTGCTTATGTTCCCCACTCAACTCCCGTTCGCCTCGCCCGATCACACTTTTCGTAACGCGTAACTCATTCGCCAGCTTACTCCCCAAGTCAAGCGCGCATAAAGAAGTTTCACTTCAATAAAATTATCTTGTAAACACCCTTACCTGCTCATCAAACGGACTGAGTATCGACAACGACTTGTCCCCGCTCTGCGTGGAACTGGTCGTATTACTGCGTCTCCTGACCTCGTCCTCCACGCCGTTGATGCGCTCCGTACCCTGTCCATTACTGGTCAGGGTCGTGGTGGTGACTGCCGGCGGCTCAGTCGGTGAAGCGTCGTACACTGACTTCAGCTTCTTGAGCGTTTTCGGTCGCTCCGCTGGCATCGGCCGCAGGCCTATGCCGTCGAGCGTGGTGGTGGAGCCTTTGAAGAGGCCTGGGGACAAATAAATATATCATCCTAATTTTGTAGCATTATATGGTATTGAACAAAAGTGGGCGTCGTATTATGTACTACCTATATAAATCTAACGAAAAATAACCTTATCACCACAAAGAAGTTAGACATGCGTTCAAAACTAGTTTATAATTTTGAAAAATGTCAAGAAAAATCAAGATTTGAAACCGTGTTCAACTTTTTTGTAGTAAGACCGTAAACGCCTTATCACAAAACGTAGACTAAAGTTAAACCTGGACTAAATCTGATGCTGACAGACTTAGGCCCGAGTTCATCGACTGTTGTTTAACCCACGTTTAATTGATCACCCGGTTAACTTCTAAACAATGTTTAAACAGCCGGTCAAATAATTACTGTTCACAACGAAAATATTAACCACGGTTTACAAATCAACCGATCGCCAGCCGGTAAGAGTGAATGAATGAATGGTATAATGTGACTCATTTGCGGAGTCGTAGTAACTCATTTAGTCGACATGCTACACAGTAACATCCCAATTGAGTAGTTTAAAGTAGAATGCTACCAACTTGAAAAGTATGACAATGTATTAACAAAGTTCAAATAGTAGTAGTTTTAATTTCGGTCGGATAAAATCGTTTGCTGTCAATGTCAAAGTGAAATATTATATTCATTTGTGTTGTGTTTTGTGATTGTGAAGCAAGTCGGTTCGTTAGCTCAATCATATATTTTTTATTTAAAATGGAGTTAGGAGGCCATAAAAAGCGAACGATAAATTTTTCGAGCGACGAGAAACGTATTCTTACGGAGTTGGTTCTTAAATACCGGGACATAGTTGAAAATAAGCGCACTGATGCTACCACGAACTCGGTAAAAATAAAAGGATGGATTCGTCTTACTGAAGAATTCAACACCATCAGCACATATTGCCATCGAACACATACGGTGTTAAAGTGTTGTTGGGAAAACATTAAAAGGCAGTCCAAGAAAGATCGGGCAGCCAGAAAAAAGAGTTTATTTATGACTGGTATGTACTTTTAGAACTCACGTGGTGATTTATTATTTGAGGAAGAGAAATCGATTTGTACGTTTTATTCACATATTATGTTTCGTGCCTGTTCTATGTTTCTGAAATGTGTGCTTTTTATATTTCAGGTGGTGGAAAACCACCATCTCCAGCACCATCAAATCAAGGGTCGAGCGCTGTTGTAGATGCTATACTGGGACCAGCCCTAGAAGGAGTTTCGAATATTTATGACAGCGACGCCTGTGGCAGTGTAATTAAAGTAAGTTCTTAAATTTGATACAATATTAGATTGAGGTTTAATTTGATATTACTAATAAGCATCTAACAAATAATCTAAATCTGTGTGATAGGTTTCATGTTATAATCTATTGATTTAAAATGATTTTATATATTTACAGGATTTTGTTGAACTGCACCATCCAGTGGACAATACTTTTATATTAGAAGACAATGCAGAAAGTGAAAAAAATAAGGTGGGTTTACTAAAATTATTACCGTTTTAGGAAACGATTTTATTTTCTATTCCGACTAGCACATCACCTATTGAACGTTAATGGCATTGTTTGAATAACCTTCGATCAAGTACAATAAATTGTCAAATTTTATGTGTCACATTGAATTGACAATTTTATTTACAGTATTTTAGAATAGTCAAGCACTGTTTAATGGAGTCTTAATAATATTCAGTATACAATTTATTCCAGGAAAATATTGAATTTTCATTTTTGTCCATGGATGAGGTCAGACAACCTAATAATAAAGATGATGGTGAAGTTGAGAAATCATTGTGCCAAGCCAGTACCTCAAAAGGCATATTAAATGAAAATAATGTGAGTTTAAATAGTATTTTGACTAATGTGATAATGCAGTGTGTACTTTTCATTTTTATCAAAGTAATTATTGCTTTTTACAGGAAAATGATACCTGGAGTACATGGACTCCAAAGAATTTAAAAACGCCGGTATCAAAAGAATTAAGGTCTTCCAAGTGTAACGAAGAGGATTGGCTGAAAAGAAGGAGACCTAAAGTAGATTCTTTGGGTGATACTCTCACAAGAGAAAAAATTAATCTTGTTAAAATATTGCAAGAAAATGCAGAAAAAGAATCTCGAATTAGAATTAATATTTTAGAACAACAATTAAAACAAGAGCAATTAAAGACTCAAAAACTTGAAAATAATTAATAATTTTTATTTGTAGTTTTAAGGCAATACGTTAAAAAGTAATTTTATTTAATAATTAATAAATAAGGAAAATGTTTAAATGATCCCCAAAAAAATTGTAATTGATCACCAAAAATACAACTGGTAACCCAAAGGTTAGGTTAGGTTCCCTATTTATTCATTACCTTTATATTATTTTTTGGAGATTATTTAAATTTGAGCCTCAAATTGGTTTACTTTCGGGAATCTTCATGCTCTTGTTTTACATTCGTTGCATCAAATATGTTAGAGTAGGTTAATAATTATGAATTGGTTATATATGTGTTTAAATTATTTAAGTTTTCTAGTTAGGTATACTTTTCTAATGCAATATAAACCCTTGAATTCCTTTACCGATTTTTTTTGTTATATTTAATGACTGAAGTTATGTATGTTTAATAAAACTTTATTGACTTTAATTTATAATTTTTATATCATCTTTTATATAAATAAAATGTACCAGTAGACATTAAAATATATTTTTATTTTAAACCTATACTAGACTTTCAAAATAATTTGATATTAATGCTCTTCTGGTAGGGTTCAAATCTCTTGATGGGTTACTATTACTATATAAAGTTCGCTGCTGTCTTATTCTCCCCCTTTCTAATATTTCCTCCCATGGTGCTGGCAAATCTATAATAGAGTCATCAGATGGCATTTCGTCTCCTTTAATTTGTAGTATATTATTTAATACACCCGTAGCCACTATTATAGGAATAGCATTTTTTAAGCTAACTCTTATTCCTAGTGCCAATACTGGAAACCGCCTTTTCCATATCCCGAATAATCTTTCAATGGGGTTCCGTGTCCTAATTTGGGATTCATTATACAAGGATTCTGCTGTTGATAAAACTCTGTCTAACGGCATCATCATGTACTCCCTATTCATATAACCACTGTCTGCAACAAGTACTGCATCACCATATATCCCCGATTCAAACATTGCATGTCTTCTAGATGCACTGAAAATCCTTTCATCGTGGGAACTTCCGGGCCACCGCACCACTAGGTCAGTAAATAATAACTGGGCATTGCAAATAGCTTGGACATTAATTGACATGTACCCTTTCCGATTTCTGAAAGTTTCAGCATAGCATCCTCCTGGTGAAATAATTTTTATATGGGTACAGTCTAATGCACCCATGACCTTAGGGAATTTTGCTATATTGTAAAAATCTATTTGAGTTTTTCGGATATCTGCCTCTGTTTGAGGAAATTTTATATAATTGTGCCCCAAGGTGGCTATCGCTGCAGTTACTCGGTGGATGACACGATTTGCTGTTGTTCGACTCACTCCGCAAAAATCGCCTATGGTCAATTGGTGGCATCCTGTTGCGTAAAAACGCAAAGTTAAAAGTAATTGATTTATTGGAGATAAGGAGTTGTTCCTGAAATAAAAAAAAGATATGCTTATAGAAATGCAATATAAAATAATAACTTAAAAGTTTGTAAAAAGGTAATGGCTATCCTTATTACATAAAAAGTAAGGTTATTCAAGGTATCCTATTTTTAAGATAGTTATCAGTTTTAGACTTACTTATCGTTGGGAAATTCTAGTTGATGTTCTATTAATTGGAGAACGTCCAGTGCGGAAGATTTTGATAAACGAAATCTAGTTTTAAAAGATTCTTCATCATACTCCTCATAATAATTACGACGCATTTGAAATACTCGAGGCATTTTTGTTCTTCTCTCTATATCATCTAAATTATCAAGAAGATTTAGGTAGTACTCTTGATAGTTATCAATCATAACATTAAACACTGACTGCATTTTAAATTAGCACAACACAAAAAAATTTAAAGTCGATATAACCTAAAATTGTTGTAGCAACCGATACACAGCAAACGTCAATAATGTCTGAACGACGGTTAAACGATGTTTTCGAGCTCGGTTACGTTGATCAGCCGTTTAAGGGATATAACCACCGGTGAACACGTGGTGAACACAAAAAAATTCTTAAACGGTTGTTTAGGAGATAAACGCTTGTTTAAAATGTTGGTGAACTCGGGCCTTAAGGTTTAAACAAAGGTTTTAAAAAGGGTTTTAGAAGGCAAAGTTTGCGCACAGGCATATTCGAACACTTATTTCTATGGTAAGTAGAAATTACAATTTTATTAACCTAAAAGAGTGAGAAAAGCAATCTTCAACATGTGTGTCGAGGTAAGGTGTTGATGTACCGAACCGGTTCCACGCACGAAGGCTGTTAGATAAGGAAATAAACCCAATTTGCTACTTACAAGCAAATTGCTTATGTTACTGACACCAAATTAGTTACCTACCTCCCATAGAACATCTTAAGTTCAAACAGTCGATTACAGGCTTTACAGAGATCTCGCAGTTATGCCCTGGTTGTAGAGGACATGAAACTACATCGTGGAGTTATTTTACCAAGTAGGTAAGGGAGCTTTGGTGGGTTAACTGATGTAAACGTTATAGACAATAAAGCATGCTTGACAAGCACGTATGTTTAATAATAATAATAATAATTTATTCCCAAATTTTTTATACAATATGGTTTTACAAATAAAGGCACAGGATATTTTAAAACTAAGGATCTGTGGGTACTTAAAATAGGAAAACCCTGTGACTTAAGTACCCACTCTCTTCCAGTGACACAATAAAGTAAATTTACAAGATACCACATTGATTAGAAAATATGATTTTAAATGAAAAACGTAAATTTAAGTTACATTAACAAACAAAAAAAAAACTTTTTTAACAAGAATTAGAACCAATTTAGTTTTATTTTGTAAATAATTTTCATGCAAGACGAGTAAGGAATCAAGT